CTCTGAGCCAGCTGTGTGCTTCTGATGGGCGTCACTGCAGCTCTGAGCTGTGTGCTTCTGATGGGCATCACTGCACCTCTGAGCCAGCTGTGTGCTTCTGATGGACATCACTGCACCTCTGAGCTGTGTGCTTCTCATGGGCATCACTGTAGCTCTGAGCCAGCTGTGTGCTTCTGATGGGCATCACTGCAGCTCTGAGCTGTGTGCTTCTTCTTGGCTTGTCAACATACATGAGTACTGAGCTGAGCAGCTTATGTTCCTCACTCCAGTTAAGGAGATCCTCACAAGGCATGTTAATTTTTATAGACAGAATAGTGACATCTTTCAAATGTGGAAGTACCAAAGCTGCTTGCTTTTGAGCTGCTTTCACACTTGGTTAAGTTTTATTTTGCACACTCTGAACAATGCTATGGAACACACTATGAAAAATAAGTTATGGGAATCGCCAAATGTTTTATAATGTTACCCAGCAAGACAGACTGAAAACTGTCCAGGATATTACAACCCATGATGCCTCATTTTCACCAGCTTTGCTGGGAGTTAAGGCCTTCAAGTGCTCTTGTGAAGGCCCCAGCATGCTGGTTATTAGAGGTTTTGTAGGGGCTTCAGTATTTCTGCAAATCGTGTAACAGAATCTCCCTCTCCAGGCTGCTAGTGGTGCTGACAGTTCCGTGATTCAAACTAATGTTGTCAGAAGAAGTGTGCGGTTTGTTCCTGTCCTCGTTTGTCTGAGTCCTCATTCAGACGTTCAGACAAAAAGATATTTCAACATCTTGTTGCCTTGGATTGCTGAATGTGACAGGATTCTAAAATCACGACATCACAGTGTGCTGCCAGCAGAACGATTGCGGCTGTCAGCGCAGTTTCAGCCCCAGGCTGGAAGGGAAGCTGCAGACACGCCCAGGGGTCCGAGCCCCACAGCCAGGGCAACAGAGTCTCCCTGTCCAGGACGTGGAACTGACGGAGCCGAAAGTGCGTGCTTGTGAACTTCCTTGCTTCCCCGTCGCCCGCATAAGTCTGTTTTATCTGTATCCACTTATCCAAAGCAGTTTGAGACGATA